CAATCTTGTATTGTTGTTGTTTTGATGATTCTGCTTTTTATTTGAACTCGACTTTGGCTCTGTTCATTAAGTATACAAACTGGCTTTCAGGCTCAATGATCTAAATTTAAAATTGCAGATCTAAAATGATCCATTATTTAAGTTGGTCATTCTCAAACTTCTAGGCACTGAACATGGAGAACAAATTCACCTCTTTTATTGCTGTTCATTGGTTCAACTAGCAGTAGCACATTTTTTTCTTACTATATCTATCTTGTTAAAGAAAAAGTCTATACCTGCCGACTTGCATTTGACAAGTCCCAACCACACGAGTTTTGATGTGATAAATTGCCAATTAAATTATCCTGTATTCATTGGTCAATTGGAAATATGAAAGATGTTCTGAACCAGTAAGAAACTGTAGACCAAAGTAATGAGACTCTTCCTAATCAATCCATTACTTTAGCTGTCATGGAAACTATTTAGCTTGCCTAAACTCTTCAACCGTTTGTTTAACAAGTTCTTTTTTTCCAACTTTGGATCGGAAAATTGAAACTTTAGCGGATTTCCCTGAACAAGCAACTATTTGAGATGATACTGGACCCTCAAATGCCATTTCTTTTCTAGGTCCTGATTCCAGTGAGCATCATAGGTCACGTACCGCAGTATTTGTTGTTTTAATGTGCCACAGTTATGTGAAAGCCAAGCATGATATGTCCATGATCATTGTGAATGAAATTATCGGCTAGCTATTGCAATGCTGTAACGATATGCTGCTAACCATCTCTCTCATGCTTGCATGACAAGAACAGGTCACTGAATTCACATGCGGTGGATTTGTCGTCGGCTTACGCTTCAATCACGCGTCTGCAGATGGCATGGGATCGGCACAGTTCATTTACGCCGTCGGCGAGCTCGCCAGGGGTCTTCCGGAGCCAACAGTCAAACCAGTCTGGGACAGAGACAGCTACCCTAACCCAAAGGTCAAACCTGCACCACTCCCTGACCTCCCCAAGCTAGCCTTGGATTACACTGAATTGAACTTCCCGGCCCACTACATCAACCAATTGAAGAATCAGTACTTGGAGCACGCCAATGGCCGATGGTGTTCAACCTTCGACATCGTCATTGCCAAGGTTTGGCAGTGCCGCACTCGGGCAGTTTACTCCGACCCCGACGTCAACATCCGCATGTGCTTCTTCGCCAGCACTCGCCACATACTGAAGGTCAACAAGGGATACTACGGCAACTCGATCTTCCCGGTTAAAGTGTCGACCACCAGCGGCGAGATCATGAGCTCCTCAGTCGTCGAGATTGTGGACTTGATCAAGAAGGCCAAGGATCAGATGGCGGTGGACGTCTTGAAGTGGGCGAACGATGAATTCGAGTCGGATCCCTTCAGCATGACCTTCAACTACGAGACCATCTACGTCTCGGACTGGACAAAGCTTGGATTCTCCGAGGTGGACTACGGATGGGGAATTCCCATGTACTGTGGTCCGTTTACCAACAACGACTACATTGCGTCCTGCATTCTCCTGAAGGCGCCGGCGCCGTTCGAAGGTACTCGGCTCATCGCCAGATGCGTCTCCAGTGAGCACACGGATGCCTTCAATGAGCAGCTTAACAGATTCGACTAAGAGTGTGGGAGTGTCTCTGCTTTATAATAATCTTGAGGCTTTGTGCTCGTCATTTGTGGAACTGGTATTGGTTTATCGTTGCTTTTACTTGATATTATGGAAGGAATTTTACCGAACAGATCGTCTTAAATTTGTGGAACAGATCTCTTTGTTCTATCCAATGATGATGATTGACAGAAGCCAGAGTAGTTTGCGGAACAGATCTCTTTGGTCTATCTAATGATGATGATTGACAAAGAGGCCATGGGAGTAGCTTCGAATGGGGATGACACGAGCACTTTCTGGCTATATATACATATATACCTTGACACCTCTTGAAGGAAACCATGTTCCTTGTGTTTTATCTGCATCCATCCTTTACTTTTACCTTTAAAGATCCAAGGAGTCATGTGCCAAGGGCCGAAGGCAAGCACTCATTCACCAGTCACGCTGAAGTCCTCGAATCATTCTTCCTTCACGGACGTAGATCTCGTCAAATCCCACGCACTTGTAATAAATCTCTGTTCGATCTTTTAATTCGTCGCAGCGTCTTCGCCTCCATCTGTTCTCTTTTGGATCTCGGTGTTGATCGAATCTTGGCAGTATTCTGAAACCCTAATATCGAATTCCTCTGCTTTGAGGTGGATCGAAGCGACTCTAAGGCAAACGTCGTATCGTGATCAGCGACGGAATCCATCAAAAGGTACTCCATGTCAGGCTGCTGAACCCCCCCAATCAATCGTAGAAGTTTGCAATTAATTTACGGAAACATGCATCAGAAGATATATAAACATTTCCTACATCATTAAGCAGAACCATCTGTTCTCTGCCATAACTGCTCGATTGGATCGACAGCTTCTATCTTTGGTTTCTTCTCTTTGTCGCATCAACAGATTAGATTGTTTCCAAGCATTCTGTTTAGCGTGTATCATTGTTTTATTGCTACAAGATGGGAATGCATGTTTACGCCTTCCTGTCTGCACTGAGCGTCTTTATTGTTACAACATAAATGATATTACACATTTATCATTAGATCAACTACAAAACAAACCAATATAGAGCAATGCCTATTGCTTCCTCATGGAAGCTTTCATGAACAAGCTAGGGAAGATGCAGCCGGTGTTGGTCAATGGAGAATGTAAGTAACAAGGAGAGCTACGAGCATAAGCGCGTAGGCGACGCCTTGGTCGATCGCCTTGCCGTCGATGATCCCCCGAGCTGGTGCGGTTGCCTCGCCGTGAGCAAGTTGCATCAAGCCTGAGATGAAGAAGGTCAAGAACAGCAGCTCGAACACCATTCTCGTGGAACAGCTCATTTTGCTTCCGTCTCCCAAGGAATCTGAACGTAGTCTTTGCTGCGGAGAAGAAGACACTGGTGAGTCTCAGTGAGGTGAGAGGTGGTGGGTATTTATAGGGGCTTTGGTTCTCCGACGAGTGTTTCTTCCGGTCTTCCTTGCCAACGCTGAGACCGGAAATGGTCTAAAGAAGCCGGCGGTTTAAGCTGGACCAGGAGCCGGTCCAGGACTTGGTTGATACGGCAAGCTAGAAATCGCGTGCATTAAATTAGGATTAGGAATACAAAAAATATGATTCCAACGTTGTTGTTGTTCTCTCTTCTCTGTTCTAAACTTTGACCGGTAACTCAGCATTGGATTCGATCTATAAAGCATATTCTATTGTTTCTTTGATTGCTATAAGTTCATTGTAACAATTGCCTTCATCGGGGATGCATCGCACACTGCTCGATGTGATCAAAAAGTCAAACCTCCTTATTCTGCACATTATTGTGCCAAATTTTCTAGTGAATTAGAATATGACGTATCTCTGCTTGACGTCCTTCGAATCCTTACATTAATTAGCAACTCATCTTTTTTCTTTTATTCCTGTAGAATGTCTTTTCTACTGTTTGTGCTGATAATATTTGGCCCACCTGAGAAGAGGAGAAAGTTTCATTGTGGCCACCGAGATCGACAACCACGATGCATGTAAAGGTAAACAATCGGCATGATCAAAGACGATAGGGCCTCGTGATGGGGCGGAGGCCAATCATATCATCATAATCTTTATCTCTTAGAAAATAAATAAAAGGGTATTATTACTTAGGAATAAAATAAAGGAAGCATTCCAGAATCATTTTAGAGTTTGTAGATCAACCCAACCAAGAGCTTTTAGTAAGTTTAATTCGTTCATAATTAAAATATATTTGATGAAGAAGCACCTCTTATGGTATTCCTTCTGCAACCATACGAAATATTTCTTTAGATGTGATGATAATGTGGCATGTCGAATACATTAGATAGGTAGTAGATATACATCGTAGTTTCAAGCAACCAATTGACGCCCCTCGGTTGACATATGGTTTGCAAATGATCTGAGATCAGCTCGGCCCCTGCAACATGGTTGACGGAACGGCGAACCTCGCCGAGAAGGACCGAGACGAGCTCTCCGGCTCGGCCCACGTTGACCCCTCGTCAAAATTCTGCGCGTAAGTGTGGGCATCATAAGGAACACGCGTTCGCGCCGCCGCCGCTGCCGCCGCGGCGGATCCCGACGCCTTGCTCCTCTCCGCCATCATCCTCCTCCACAGGACCCGTAGCCCCGTCACGGTCGACGGAGATGACGACCGGCCTTCCCACGGGTCGAGCTCGTCGTCGGCGAGGAACCGGGTGAACCTGGCCGTCCCACGGCGGCTGCTGCACCGGTTGCCGACGTCGAGCGGCAGGCACGCGCAAGATCTCTGCCTCTGGAGCTTCGACCTGCGGTCCATGATGCAACCTCTATCCCTCCGAAGCTGTGTGACGATCTCGGGATGAGCTACTTGTGAGTGACGTTTTGACCTGTGCGATGATTCTCTAACAGGTGTTATTAGACGGCTGGTGTTTAGATATCTCAGCCGACGATTTGGTGACGGCCGCAGGAATATGGGTGGATGATGCTTGGCCACGGACACTGTGGTTGGCTGCAGCACGCAATCTAATGGCGGTCGGATCTAACGTGCCTTGTTTTGAATCCAATAAGTCAAACTTCGACAGCGTTGTTGACCAAATGATTCAGGCTCGATAAATTGATTCGTTGGTTGATCCGATCCATCGGATCGTACCATAACAAATGAAATAAAAGGAAAAAAAATCCATTTGATTTTTATATAGCTATCAATGTTGATTTCTGTATAATTTAATCAATTAGGACAAGCTTGTCCAAATCATCTAACACAGTAATCCAAAAAGGAAAAAAAATACTGAAACCCAAATAGGTAACTTTAAAACTAACATCTTACTTTTTCATTTTTTTTATCTTGCAGGTGAAAGAAAACAATGGTTACCAAACCATTTGAATTGCCACAATACAATTTTGTGATTCCTGTACTTGAACACAGTTCCAACAAACCACAAAAACTTAGATACACATAAATGCTAGTTCAGTTAAATGAACAATAAGGGATACTGATTAGACATGGAAATCAGTGAGATTTCGAGTGCTGTAGATGTACAAAACTCCATCCTGGAGTTTAGCATTTTAGTACTGGACATCATATGTCAGAAGGTCATCTCATATTAGATGTGCTGTCACAAAGCTTGCATTCTTATCTTTCTACAGGCCATGGCAATTACGGAATCAAAGACCAAAACATCTGCTGGCAACATTCTGTCTGTCTGCAATAGAAGGGAAAAACTATCAGGTCTCCAGATCAGAAAATTGAAAAGTTTTGAAATGCATCCATGCTGCTTGTAATCAATCCGCTAAGATCAATAGTTTCCCCATCATTCATCTCTCTAGAGCAAGGGGCAACGTACTCCAAGGGACCTAGGGAATCAGGCTGTGCAGTCATGAAGATACAAATGAGTAATAGCTTAGAAATCAGCTGAAGTTCTTTAGATAAAGCAGATTGAGTCTTGAAAGCATAGATGAGTACCAGACTTAGGTTCATCGCTGCAAAATGATTGCCGCCATTAAGTGAATCTGAATGAGATTTGGGTTCCGAACATGCATCAACTGTTACTGGTATAGGGCAAATATTGTTTAGTGATGCCTGCTCCACCTGAGGGCCTAGCTGCAATTTGAAGTTGGTAAGCAGGTCTTAGTCTTGCATCAGCTACCTATGTCTAAATAAAAGAAAATATAAAAGAGAATAAAAACATGCAATATACCATATTAGCTACAAACAAGTTCAGCACAGAGAAATTAGAAAGTACCATATCGCTACAGTTCTCTGTGGCAGGAGGATCTCTAGTTGAAGCTGGATGATTATGACTAGAAGAAGCAACCTTTGCAAATGGAAATGCATGGCATGTTTCTTCTGCTTCCAAGATGGATGAATGGATCAACCGGTTTGATGGATTTGAGGGTTGATGACGGGCCATAACGGAAGCAATAGCAGCATCAAATGAATCACAGGTCATAGGGATCTGCTGAAGACTAGAATTTGGAGCAGGTAATGGATGGCAAAGGTTGACAGGAGTTTCCGACACTTCAGATAATATAGCACCAAAGCTCATGTTAGATAGGCAATCAACCCATGACATATTGACACTTCTGCTATTGTTCTTCTGGTCAACCTTGTTCATGTTCAATAAAAAAAAGAAAAATTTGAGTAAAAAGAAAAAAAAAAGACAGATAATAAGGTGGAAGATATTTGATACAATTACCCCATTTTGGATAGTTTTCTCCAACAAAAGGTGTGTTTCAACTGCTTGGTTCGCTGAATCATCCATATGGCATGGCCCATGTCCTTTGCTCGACTTACAAAGCAGTTTATCGCCACTGGTGATATGCTTTTCGAAACTCTTATTCGGCTCCTCATAAGAATGTGATGTCATAGATGTCGGGCATGCTGTTTGCTCAAGATTGGAGAACCAACCATATCTTTGAAAACAAAAGAAACTATTCAGCCCAACATCCTTATCACGACCATGAAAATCTAGAGAATAAAAAAAAAGCACATGCAACCAGCATAGGGTAAAACAGTTAAACCTTAAACGAAACATGGCAGGGCTACCAAGTGAAGCATGCACATCAGCCGCGGTGACATCAGAGTCTTCTAAAGTCCATCTTATGCTGTTGGCCAAATTATCCAGGTAAACATTGTACGGAAAAAGCATGAGTTCTCCTGATGCCAATTTTGAACTGCCCCACTTGAAGTTGAGGTGCTTCACCACTGAAGAGATTCTTTTTCTAGTTGTTAAAGTTAGTTCCAGGTAAGGGTTGTGATTATTCTGTAACATCATAAAGCAACAAAGCAAATGGTCATATGACAACTTAAATTAAAACTAAAAATAACAATAAATACCAGACTCTCCTTGTCCCCTGTGAAGTCACCACTAATCATATGCCTTAACTTCTTAAATTTACCTTCTCCAATGCTTTCCTAGTAGCTTCATCTATTGGAAAAAGCTGAAGCTTAACTTTTCCATTGAAATCTTGAAATTGTCCTTGTACAAATTTCAAATCTCCTGGTGCTGCTTCCGGGAAGCTAGTTTGCATATCCTGAATCTCCAGCTGAGGTAATTGGATAGAAGAAGTGTGAAGTTGTCCATCTAACTCAGAACACTTTTTTCCTGGAAAAAGAAAGATGTCAATGAATGTAAACAGCATTTAATATCCTACAGCCAGAATAAGTTGCTACTCAACCCAAATGGTCATCAAGATATCTAATCATGATTCACACATTACTATTCATTAAACTGCTGGAATGGAAGGAAAACCAAATTATAATATATCATAATATGTCCTTGGTTATCTAAGCTACGTGCATTGTCATAATTACTGAAGTGGAACATGCTGAAGAATCACTTGGAAGGGAAAAAGACTGACAAGCAAGACAGAGGTATGGGGAAAACAGCTTATGAATGACAGTACCTGTGATCTCCCGTTTCTGCTTTGTGATCTTTAGGCTCTTGGACTTGTTGCAACCAAGACCTTTTTTTGCAAGACCTTTATGCTGAGAGCCAGAAGCTTTCATGATAAACCCTCTTTTGCTCTGAAGATACTAATAATTATAGCCTTTTTTATGGATGTTGCACTACAAGATCACAAAGGTGTATTCGGTGTTTTCCTGCAGGAACAAGATTGTTAAGCTCAAAATTTTGAGTGGTTCGATCAATCAAAAATTTAGATTAGATATGAATTCAACCAACCTTGTAAATTGTTCTGGATAACATATCTAAATTCAGATATCCAATTTCATATGTTAAAGATCTAAAAAGCCAAGAATCACAAGTATTCTTGTCAGCCATGAATTTATTCTAATTTGCAGATATTTATAAACAACAGATGCAACATAATTACATAGGACTTTAAGTTTATTTTAAAAAACAAATGCAAAGTGCCAAAATTCCTGAATTTTCTATCAAGACTACTTCAACAAGAACTACATCAAATAGATAAACTCCACAAATGTGGATCCTCAGGGTAAAATGTGTAATTAACTCCGAACAATTCGTTACTTATCCGAAGCTGGCTATACAATTAACTTAATTCTCAGCAAAAATGAGGCCTCCCTTAACCCCAGAAGCTTTATGTTTCCATGTGCATCACTAGATCGCTGAAATCAGATAACTTTCAACGATGAATAATGTTGCATCTCACTTCTTTCAAGAAAAATACATTATGTTCTAGCTGGTTCACTTGTTATCTTTCAACATAATCCGTTCTCCTCGCTTAGAAGCCCATGTTCTTCTTTTTTTTTTTCAGTTTTCATCTGTAACTTTTATCCAGTTCATTTTCTTCAGCTTATGAAATTCTTTTACACATAAATTCTTTGTGTACATGCAATTTATATTGTCTGGGAGCAGCAAACAGAATTAGAAAGAACAGAAGATTTGCATGGTTCAGCTTTTAGCATAGGTCCACGAGGGAAAGTGAGAATATCTCTAGCATATAACAATAATGGTTACAACATCTGATAATTCACTGAAAAACAAAAGCCAAAGTGCTGTCTGCAAATTCTCAAAATGCTCGGAACATGAAGAAACCCTTCTCTGATCGCTTCACCAACGCCTTGTGTGACACAAGCAACTTACGTCTATGGTACAAGCCATAGAAGGACTCTGTTTTTGTAGTATATAACCAAAGTTGATTCACCTACCAATAGCAGTGACTATACGTGGTTGGATGATAATTTATGATCTCCAACCTCTGGCAATAAAAAACCATAAATATCAGACTTACCTAATCAAAATCTTACTTCAAAGGCTAAATGAGAGTTGCCATTGAGCCACATGCAAAGAATTATTGTACCACTCCATAAATTTTGAAGCCCATTATCACTTGTATATCTCAATGTGGAAACCAGAATGTTGCTCCAAGTCAAAAAAAAAAAATCTCTCATCTTAGCTGTAGAAAAGTAAGCAAGCCTGGCTGGTTTATTGCATAAAGAAAACAGGAATCCATGCATCAACAGTGGAAAATTCCTTCTCTTGATGGGATCCAAATGAAGTGCATTAATCAAGCTTATGTTGATAACCATACAACATATATTTCACCAGACTGTTAATTCTAACTGAACTGTGGATGTTACACCCCGAAACTACCTACCACTACAACGAGAAAATTCATTTGGTGCGTAAACCAAGGTAGGCAATACCGAATGATACCGCCCAGTACGGGCGGTACATACCGGTCCGACGGCATACCAGTACACGGACTGCCCGTCACCGGACGGAACGAAAAATAATAATAAAATAAAATATATATATATATAAACGAGACGACGTCGCCCCACGTGGGGAAGGAAAAGGAGACGTCGCCGAGTTATATATATATATATATATATATATATATATATATATATATATATATATATATATTGAACGGTATACCGCTCGGTATACAGTTTCGTACCGTACCGAGCGAACGTCGAAACTCTGGTACGATACGAAATTGCAGACCTTGGCGTAAACTACATTAAATATGATTTAAAGAAATGAAAATCTTTAGATGGGATTTATAAGAAAATTAGAACAATGTTAACATTAACAATAATCAAATTTAAATATATGAAGACATGAACATCATGGAAATTTAGGAAGGGTTTAAAAACTTTAGTGTCATGATTCAAACAATTAAATTAACATTAATCAAAACAATCTAGATTAACACATGAAGGCAGGAACATCATGAAAATCATTAATTATGGTTTATTAACTTTCATGTCATGATACAAATATTTAAAACAATTAATTGAATAAAAAATATCATCATAGTATCATACTTTTTTATTATTAAAAATCCAAAATTAATTAATATAAAAATTTTGTATTAAACAATTAAAAAAATAAAATCAAATATATCAAAATTTAAATTAAAGGGAAAGAAATTGATAATAATATTTTAGTTAAGTAACAAAAAGTTATAATGATTACAGTAGATTACATTGTGAATTTAAAAGACACGTACTACATAGAGCTAGAAATTTGACAAAACTCATCCATTAGGGGACCTTTGTGATCAACTGATAACACTTTTGATAACATGAACCTTTTTGGATGATAACAGTTTGAACCAGCGGCTTTGGATCAAAACGTTCTATGCCAAGGCTGGTTGCAAGTTTGTAGATGGCAGCTATGCACATAGTTAATAGATTCAATTCAGCAGATCTATGGACAAGGATCAATGAGTAAAAGTATATTTTGGTTGAATGTCAAAGCAGGTTAAACATTTTATTAAGGTTAATAAGTATATAAATATCTTCAAACGTATTGACAGAAAATAAAAGCGTAAAAAAGGTGAACTAGGGCTAGTTTCTAGATGGATTAGTTACCCAAATATCACTAGTCAAAAAGAAAAAAGGGACACTAGAATCTATTGATATCAAACAATTTTGGTTCAACGAATTGGGGCATGAAAAGTTTCAACGATTTTTCAACGGCTAAGAACGGCAGAATCACCGCGAAGGCATTTCAATTAGCCCCAAAAATTAAACTCTTTTCACCTGAAATTATAACGATGACATATAGAACAACCACCGAATAAACTAGTTCCAAATTAAAAGACAAGAACTGGAACGAGAAAGGCATCGGAACCACACAAATCGTCACCATCAAACTACACAAAAGCTATAAAAAAGGTACAGGAACCCTAACACAGGTCTCAAATCTACGAGCAAAGGGTACCAGATCCGCACCAGTACGCAATCCTCGCGTGGGTATTACCCGCCAACGAAGAGCCCTAATCTCAAGAACGCGCGCCAGGCGAAACCTCCAATCTTTCCCCAAAACAACACTGGATTGAGAGAGTGAGTGAGAGAGAGAGAGAGAGAGAGGAGGTAGTTCGGCCCGTCC